AGGGATGCCATATGTATTGATAACATGGGAGTGCAGAAATGAGATTAGGAGGTATGAATGTGTTTGGTAAGACGTATCGGGAAAATGATGGAAAATGGATACGTGCACATATGTGCGTTATAGAAGGAAAGCAGTGGTACACGCGATTTTACTTAGGGGAAGTAAAATGAAGAAGTATATTCGCGTGCGTATGCGAGTGCGAATGCGAGGCTACTGATCGTACTGATCATCTGTTTTCTTTTAGGGCATGTATATTTGCAAGCTGGTGTGGCTCAACAGGCCTGACACAACTGGTGACAATGGAACGATGGTGCATCTCATGGTTCAAGGTAAGCGACAGAGAATAAATGCAGGTATAATAATTTAGGTAAAAGCTGACATATAGCCCAGTAACCGCACACGTGTTCGGCACATCCAGTGAATTGTAAATCGTAAAAAACATTCACGCAACGTTAACAAGCAACAAATACACGTATGCGTTCATTAGCAATTATATGCACACGATTAAATTATTATGACGTACCCCTGTTTACTTACGCGCGTACGCTGATGCGGTTGCATATATCTTAGCAGTAGAGGGTTTAGTACTAGCTAGCAAAAAAACGATGGTTCGGGGCAAAGAGGATCGTACAGTTTCGTTCCTCCAATTATTCTGGACTGAAATCCAACTGCTGTGCTCTACCCGAGCCGTCATGATGAGAAGCTTTCTGTGGCTTTTCATAACGTAGCGCCGCTGTCGGCTGTTGATGGTACTGCGCGGGTTTTTGCTGGCGAATGCACATTTGTCATTACATGCACGAGCAAGCATCGCATAGTTCGCTAAAGTGACCTCTCCGATCGCCCCTGTTTCATATCGAAAAAAACCTCTGTGGCAATCGGCAGTCAGCGAGGCAACCACTCAGCAGGCACACACCGTTCGTGTACGACACGACGGTGTGCATTGCTGCATGCATATGTCGCGAATGATGCGATTGTCGTGTTGGGCTTCCTTCGAGTTTCTTTCTGTGCGACGCAGAGAAATTGCATCGCGGTTGATGCATTATGATGCGACGCCAAAGAAGAAAGATTATTCTAATGTGGAAATATTCACAGAAATGTTAATAATGCGTTGTCCCCGCGGATTTGGTTCGCGTTCAGTTCTGATTAAAGTCGCTGATGTAATTCGTCTCTTGTGGGAGAACATTTTCTGAGTCTTGTCAAAGATAATGGACTTTAGAGGCGCACGTGTCAAACGGGATAAGAAGCAATGCGTGTCGCTCTCGCGAGCTGGGAATAAAACGTGCCGCAGCTCTTCCTAGCTGCCCTGCAAAGACGAAGAGGGAAGTGTTCGTTGTATTTCGTTTGTTTACAAAGCAGTGCATCCGAACTGGAGCAGGTTAGCGGTCCTACGTGAACCCCCCCCCCCCTCCCATCCCCACCCCGCCCGGCAAACCTGATCGTCGAGT